GCCGAACATGCGGAGGGTCGGTGGCAGCGGGGCTGGGGAATAAGGCCCTGCCTGGGGGGTGGGTAGGCCCCCCTCCGCCCCGGCCCGCCACCCCCGGAGTACACAGTACTGGCGGCACATCTGTGGCACGGCTGCAGGGAGGAACGAACAAAATCCCCCCCCTCCCCGCAAAAAAAAAATAGTTTGAAGCCTTAAAATATGGTTCAGAGAATTACAAGTAATCAGAGCTGCGGGGGTCAGCAGTGCAAACTTTTTAAGACTAATGTTTATTTAGAAAAGTGAGTGGTGTCTGCGTTGCTTTTCTAGTGCCCCAGCACAAAAGTCCTAATGGCTTTTGCAGACTTTCCATCACAAACTCCTGCAACAGGGCGCGGGGACCACCGCCGAAAGCAACCCCGAGCCGCCCCCTTTCAAAGGGAGCATTGGCACAGGGTTTTAAGCCACCCCCCGTCTTTCCATGAATCAGTGACGATATTTTCTGTACCAATTTTGCCCCGCTTTCGCGTTTGTTTGATGTAACCCGAACCCTCGATAATACTGGGCAGGCGAAATCGGGGGACGGGGACGGCGATTTCCCCACCTCCCCAGCCCCGTTCAGCCCCGGACGGCTGCTGTCCTGAAAGCAACGCGGGGGTTCAGCCGAGCTGAGGAGGAACCCGGGGGCAGAGGCAGGAACCGGCGCCGGGCGGGCTGGCCGGTGTCCATCGCAGGCAAACCCATTCCCCCCGTCTCACACCCTCCCCGTTGCCACCCTCCAGCCACTCTCCCGGGAGCCTAGCCAACCACCAGCACCTGTGCAGTTCTGGGGGTCTCTGCTGACCCCACCCCAAAATTCGGGGGATATGACTGCCCTTGCAGAGACCCAAGTCTCCGTCTCGGGATGCTCCTTTTGTTCCCAGGACTGGAGGAATAAACCGAGCAGCCCCCAAAATCTCGCACGCCTTTTGTGGCGGCCCCCCCGACTTTAAGCAGGAGATGAATCCAAGGGAAACCCAGACCTGGGATCCCATTGGAAACCAGCGGCACCAGTGCTAGGTACCTTGTAGCAGGGCTGAGAGAGCTCAGCTGGGTTTAATTCCTCCCCACGTCACCCCCCTGCCCTTGACAGGTGGCAGGACCTGGGAGGGCTGAGCAGGACGGGGGCTCTGCTCCCTTTCCAGCAGAGCACAGCAATTGCAGCCTGGATGCAGACTGCAACAGCAGCAAACCCACCTCCTTCCCAGAGGCCCCAGGGGGAGGGCAGAGGTATTGGGGCTGCTCAGGAAAATGCCTGCGCTTACCCCCCTCTCCCCAAACTGAGTGACAAACAGCCCTAGGAGCTTTCTATTTACTCTCTTTCTAAACACAGACCCTTTTACTAGCCGTGAGCCCAGCCAGCAGAAGGTGGTGTGCTGCTAAAATCCTCCTGTTCCTGGCAAAGGTGAGACAAGATCTAACTCACCCCCCTAATCCGTGGGGCCTCACTGGCCACCCTGGGACACCCCAGCCCCTTTCTCATCCTCTGCAGGTCTCGGCAGGTTTGAGTGTGCCACAGCACGCCATGGACAGGGTTAGCCTGGCCATGCTGGGTGAGCAGGTCTGTGGGGACTGTATCCCCCCGTGTGTCCCCAGGGGATCCTGCTCAGCAGAGCATCAGCTGGGAAAGGGCTGGGTGGTGGAGCCATGGGGAGCAGAGACCTGGAGAGAGCCCTATCTCTGGACTGGGGGGTATGAGGCTAGTGACCCCCCCCCCCCCTCTCGTCGGGGGGGGGGGGGTGGAGGGTGGGCCCCCCCCCCCCCCCATCTGTTGGGTCCCTTGTATGGATGCATGGGGGAGCCCCTGGCATGGCTGGGGTCAGCCCTGGGGTCTAACACCGTTGTCCCCTCTCCCGTCATTAGGGTTCACAGCTCATCATCGGGGCGCCTGGGGAGGCTCTGCAGCAGGACACTGCTCTCAGCAGTGGGATGTGCAGGAGAGAAACAGGGTGGGGGAGAGGAATGGGGTGGAAGGAGGAGAGAAAGGGGCTGGATCGTGCTCCCTTTCCAGCCAAGTGACTGCCTTGTCCTGCTCCCGGAAAGGTGAGCTTGGTTTAACCCCTTC